TTTTTGCGCGAAAATATTCGGCTACAAGGCGCACCCCAATTTTGGCAAAAACTTCCCAAGAAAAAACAGATTTTCCTCGAAAAAACCGTGCGCCTTATTACTGAGAAACTACGGTAATGCAAGCATACATGTACGCTCAAAGGAAAGGATTACATTTTCCCCCTTCTTTGTGATTAGTCATCAAATTGCTCATGTCGAAACAGACCACAGTTTAAGCACAAGGGTTTGTATCATTGCTACGTGTATGCTTGCACTTAAGGTTGTGCAGGTGGGAACCGGGTTTTAGCCAATAAACATTTAAAAGATCTCACTATAAAAAAGATAAAAGTCTGGACATCTGTAACCAGCTTGACTATGTGACCATTTAATGAAATTGTTTAACAGTACTTTTACCATCCTGTGTTGATTTTCACGTAGAGGGTTGTTCGAAAAGTAGATAATGCTATCCACCGGATAAATCACCATCCAGTGGATAGCATGGTTTGTTTTATTAACACTCATCCACTGGATAGCTACACTGTACTTATCCGGTGGACTGCGTTGTCAAGCCTTCGAACAACTGAGACCAAGTCTCTACTTTCACTGTGTTAGTCTCTTGTGGGGTTACAGTTCAGTTTTCACTCTATAACTTATCACTCCTCTTAATGGGTAAACAGTCAAAGAGTTGTCGGTTAAGCTTACATTTTAGCTACCAAGAAATGACAGGGAAGCAGTGCTCTTTGAATAACCGACTGAGTTTGTGTTTTAGCCTGCTTTGTGCGAAGAAATCTGCTTGATCTCAGCGTCCACAACAGTCCAAAAAAATTTTTACCACCAGCTAATAGACGCCAATTCCTTCAGCAAAATAAAGCCAAATAGTTATCTCTATGTACTAAGAATCCAAAAACAGAATGATTTGAAACGGATTTTAAAAAGTAAAAATACGTCCGACCTCTTACCTCCCTATGCCTTTTATCCCAGCAGAACCCCGACTAAGACACTGTAGTCTTAGACGTTCTACAGGGTCTCTGGCTTGCTTGGAATTGAGCATCTTTTTACACTTTTGTCTCATTTCTGTATCAGATCTTGATGTTGCAGCCATGTTGTTGTCTATTGTCTGTAACAAATATGGCGCCCTTCGCGAGTCACGAAGATTCTTATTTTTCTGTTACCCTGACAACGACCGCGTGGTACCCAGTTTACTCACTGAACTGGAACCGTGGGCTCAAATTGTCGAGTCACTGTTTTTCCGGAAGATTTTTAAAAATAATAATTATTTCCGTGTTTCAATAGTAACAGAAGTAGAAATATTCCATTTATACTTGTTAGTTTTACGCTAGATTATATTATTTATTATCAAAAGTTATGAGAGAAACTTCTAGGATTTTTCTGTTCTCGGAATTATTCACGCATCAAGTGGAATAACATGGAATAAAATGAAACAGCTGCTGCTGAGGAAACTATGAAAAGCGAAGAATCCAACAGACAACAAATAAATGTGTTTTGTCCTATACAGAACACATTCGGTTTTTATAAGGACATCGTTTTTCCGGCTGAGGCTAAATATTCATATTTTCCCGCCGATTTTAGGCTGAAAATATTCTTATTCTATCGAATGTATTCAGCTAATTAGTAATTTTGTAGCCAGCCTGAAGGCGTTAAAGCCTGATGTTACGCACATAATTGCAGTAATGTTATTAGCGCTGAAAATACGGCTAGCGCTGCTTTTCTTGTTTTTGGCTAGTTTTGCCGTTTAGAAATAGTTTTATGCGGTTTAGTTAAAAACATATAACTGTACTGTATTTACAAATTTTCAACCCACAAAATTATATTCTTTCAAAATCCCAGCCTCAAGTTTAATATAGATACTCTTAAATATTCTATATATTCTTATATAAAAAAAAGAGTGCACAGCTCGAATACCGCCTTTTGGTACTGTAAGATTCAACTATGCTATGGTGATGCCAAACAAGATTTCAGACCTTGGCCTTGATAATTCTCGGTGTCACGTTCAGCCAAATTGAATAATTTATCATCTATACGGCTAGCCCAGGATGCTGGATGGCCTAGATAAAACCGGTAAAACCGTGTACGCCATACTAATTATGGGAAATAGATTTGCTATTGAGGCCAAAAATGAAGGGATAATTCTCATTCGGTGGTACGGCCACTCACAGAGGTCCGCACAAACCATCTGTGAACTTATTATTCCTTTTTCAGCGACCAACATGCTTATTTACTTATTTTCCAATTAACCTGATAATCTTGATAGCCAGCCTAAAGAATCAAATCGCTGTACTCGGGCTTTTTCTATACCGCGCTAGTTCGGTTGCGACGGGCAGGCTTAACCATCCGATATGCGATCTTGTAAGTTAAATGTTTGTAGGTCTTTAATTTGTTGCGGCCAGTCTAACGGATTCAAGCAAGTGATAATGTACTGAAATTTGACGAAATTATACGATGACCTTACCTTCCCAGTCCAAGTATTCCGTTGGCACCTCGAGCTAAACATTTCATCCGTAGTGCTTCTTTAGGATCTTGGATCTTTGACATGGTTTCTTTTGCTGCTTTGCGCTTCAGTTCATGATTTCCTCGGTCTGTAATCATTATTGAGGAGTTTGAAAACTACCGATGTTGGCAATGACCATCAAACTGTCCGATTATTAATCCTTTCTGCGAAGGTAACTCGAACTAGGGCTACTAGAGGCGTATATATGTTCTTGATTCTTGCGATCAATGGATCAATGCTATTGAAACTATTTTGAATCACCCTGGAGACAAATACTCGTCCATTCCATAATTCATAACACGCACGTAGAAGTCAAGGAACTATAGGAACATAAGAATGTAACACCAGGTGTGAAAAACAATGAAGACATATTTGAGAAGAAAAAAAGCTTGCATACAAAATGAATATTTTGTTTTTCTCGGTTCTTTTAATCATCGAAATGAATACTATGCCCCTGGTTCTGCGATGATGTGAACCCAGTACTTCCCACATTAATCGTCGAACGCAAAACAAAAAGCGGTTTCGACTGAAGATGTTTGGGGGAGTGTTGTGTCGATTGACGTGCTAGCTTAGGTAGTTTTTGTTACGTCAACCTGTTTTGGCAATATCAGAAATTAAATGATTAGGAGTTTTATTTTTCCCTTCCTTGGACTGCACTCTTGTTCATCAGTGTTGTCAGGTTCTCGTTCAACAGAACTATTTTTACACCTTAGTGAATAAAGGTACTTCGGAATTAGTAGTCTTGCCTTGGTCAAGAACGCAATACAGCGTCCTCTGCCTTGGCTTGAATTCTTTTTATTGTATGTTAATATTTTTTGACACTTTGTATAGTATTTTGATTTGTATCATGAGAATTAAAAATATTGCTGTTGTTATCGAAGCTGGCGGACCAGTCGATGTACAGGGCATGTGCACTAACCATTAGGCCACCAACAGCGTATGTGCTGTAGCATTTAAACAGATACAACAAGTAAAATGAAAAAATACTTTATTGAAAACTGTTATGTGCTCTATTTACAATAATATGACAAAATTAGTTGACATAATTCTGGCACCTTCCGTTATTCAAGATAAAATTTACAAAAATAGTTCTTCTGAGGACAACCTTTTTTACAAGAACATTGAGTGATAAGAAAAATAAGAAATATATATAATATTGCTTGATAAAAAAATAGACATATTTTTCTGCGCGAACTCAACTAGCAATTAAAAATTTCCAAAATGCATTTCAACATCATCTGAAATAACGATTTGAGTAATGATTGGATGAAGCCTAACCACGTGACCTCCTATCCCACTCAACGGTGATCACGTGCGATTCTTTTGGAGAGCATAAAGAACGTCGTCTTGATTGACATTCAAACGAATTCTCTGCTCCAGGTCGCGACGGCCAGACTCTACTAAAAGTAGCTTCCAGGCTCCTAAACGACAACAAACAGCCGCGGCTTGTGATGGTGTAGGGGACGAAAGGCCTGGTGAAAAAGGAAGCAAATATGACACGAACTTCACAAGTTTTTGCTCAAAAATTTTTTTAAAAAAGCTGTTTTCTAAAACTTATCTTGCATTCAAACCAAAGTAATTAGCTTCGTCGAGGCTACACAGCAATTTGATCTAAACATCAAGCGAGCCATGACTGTACAAGTCAAACAAAGAATTTACGTTAAAATAAACTTACCCTCAATTCGACAAAAATCATTGAGTTGCTGAAACACCTAGAATGAAACAAGAAATAGGACAAATTAGCAAACGGTAACGGACGCTCAGTTAGAAAGTCACACTTGAAAGTCCTTTTGTAAACCCTTTGATTGTGTGCGGTTATTAATAGTAACACAATGGAGTTTTGAATCAAACTACTAGACCTGTACGGGTTTTCTCTAACAGTGCGTCAACCCGGTACAACCATAGCGAATTCGCAAATGTAAAACTCCCAGGGGAACAGTCCTTGAGGAACTTGCCTCAGTTTCTATAGCTCAGAGATTTAATGATCTTAGTAAAGCTAAATAATTTAAATCTGCTTATCAACTCACATCACCAAAAGTTGCCTCTTCAAGTCCAGAGCTACGAAACTCTGCGATAACAGACTTGAGGAAAAGACCTTCTACTTGTGACAAGCACCTGGAATATAAAATAGAGGTAAAGTTAGTGGGTAAAAAGGTCAAGTCTGCATACGAGCCAAGTGGTCCATCAGACCGGAGCTCACCCCGGTTTCTGTAGCATGAAGAGACTAGGAGTATTTCTACTCCCCCCCTGGATGGGATGTTAGTCAATCGCAAGGTTACCCCCAGCATTAAATTCGCCGGTACACATTTGTACAACTGGGTGGAGAGAGGCACTATGAAGGTAACGTGTCTTGCCCAAGAACACAACACAATGTCCCCGACCAGGGCTCGAACCCGGACGGCTCGCTCGATCCGGAGTCGAGCGTACTAACCATGAAGCCACAATGACCCCCACACAAGTTAGTGGCGAACAGTGATTTGCAAGGACAACAACTTAAGAAACAACAACAACAACAACAACAACTAAACGCTTACTTCATGGCTCGTATCTTAGGTGACGAGAACATGTCTTGTAAAGCTAAGTCCACGTGACTCATTCCAACCAATGCGGTTCCCTTCTTTTTGGCACGTGAATCTGCGATTTCTACTGCTCTGCGGCATATATCTAAACATCGGCGTGCATCACCAGATACCGCAGCAACCTGTGAAATAGGTAATCGTATCGTACTGTTTTGTAGAGTAAGTTATGCAAATTGTGTTATTGTAAGTAGCACCTGTAATTGTATTGCATTGTAAGTAGTGTAAGCAGTGAGCAAATAATTGAATTGTAAGTAATTGAATTGTGAAAGTAGACGTATCAGTGGTGTCAGTAGTGTGAATCACAATTAAAGTTATTAAAAAAAGGAGGAAAACATAACGATTTACTGTTGCTACTACTAACCTACAAATCACAACGTCTTGACAAATAGCAGTTGTGATGTATGCATCTGAGAATCTATGAGGACTTGGCCCTTAAAATTGCACAAGCACACAGGAGATTTAAAAAGTCGAATTCACGAGTTTTACCTTCCTGGAGACCAGCTGAATGGCATCAGGTTCAAAGGCTTTCAACCCTTCGATGCGAGACATCACAATCTGCTGCAGCTGTGAAAAAGTGTACGGCTGAAACGTCAACCGGGTCAGGCCCTAAACAGACATGAAAAGCCAAGTTAACTTCGCGCTTACAGTCTTCAGAATACATGTCGTAGTTTTTCAGTTAGTTTCGGAATCTTATTATCCAGTCAAATCCAGCGTGAGTGCTCGCGAGTATTCTGAAAATAGGCCATTTCTGCGTTACCTTGTGTCCGTCTCAAAACGAGTCCTCATGCAAAACTTTTCATATGAAAACGAGTTTGATTTGCATGAAAATGAACCAGTAGGCAGAACTCATTTTCGCACGAAGACTCGTTTTGACACTGAGGCAAAAGGCAACTTGGAAATGGCCTATTGTCACTCCAGCATGACGTCGTAGGTTACGTCACGTTGCTTAGTAACAAATCGAAACGGAAAGCGCGGGCTTGACCAATTTGCCTCAAAAAACGACAAACCAAAATATGTTTCGTTTCTCTCACTAAATCAGTGAGTACTCAGAAGATGTGACGACCCAATTGTTCAGTCTGTCAGGGAAAGCACATATAAAACCAGATATAAAACCAAGCAAGCCTGATGTTTTAAATCCTTACCAGTCGGCTAGAGACACGCTTCATCATAATTCTTTCGGGCAAATCCATGGTGTTAGCAATAGCCAGCACAATAAGCCGGGCGTGACGCCGTGTGGGCCATTCAAAGAGATTGTACAGCACGTGTTGTTTACGAGTCCATAGCAGATCCAGCTGGAAAGAGATTAAGTTATGTCATCAGCTATTCCTGTGAACAAGCCTTGAGAAATTGTCTTCACTGCCTTGAAAAATACAGAACTTCACAATGAAAAAGTGTTTCAAAAATCTTAGCATACAGCTTACGGTTAAAATAGCCTCTTGGGCCCTGTCCACACTACGCCGGAGGAATTTGAAAACGGAGGTTTCACTATGAAAGCGCATCAAATGTCTAAACTAAAACCCAAAGCCTGCGTTTTCAAATTCCTCCGGTTTGATGAGCGTTTTCGACAAGCTTTGTTTTCGCAGTTGGGAGCACGTGACTAGCAGTCGAGAGCACGTGACTCGCAGTCGAGAGCACGCGACTCGCAGTCCTGTGCTAAGAAATCACAGACGTAGGAAGTGAATCTCGCAGCTAGCTTGCGCCATTTACCTCATCCACCAATAGGATAACGGGATCCCTGTCAGGTGATGGTGTGTTAAAAAGCTTGTCCAAAAGATTGGAAGCGTGCTCGGGTGTGGCTTTCTGTCCTGTTAGCAGCTGCGGACAATATAAGAATGATCAGTGAAATACAATTTCAATAAACTTAAATGACGGTCTCTTATTTTTGCCATTTTTACGACGCGAGAAGAAAGCTCTCGCAAGTAGGAACTGAGGAAACCAGGCAAAGGATCAGTTTATGTATGTTCGACAATACATCAACGCCTTAAATTTCCATGTTCAAAAGTTTGCCTCGCATTGCACAGAATCACGTGTTTATAGGTAGTCGATCTTCAGAATTTTTCCAGAGACAACCTTATTTTCCATAGTTTTCCTGCTTATCAAATCTTTCCCAAAATTAAAGCAATTGTCGACTGTGAAGCTTTGTTGAAAACGTAGTCTTGTATCAACTGCACTAACCTTAAGGAAAGTAGAATAAGCTTGAGCTGGTTCTGTTAACTTCATTCCGTTGATTTCTACAAAAGTAAACTCTGGCAACTCATCTTGAGCTTCTTCGATGCTGCGTATGACCTCATGTACTGTGGCTGTTTTTCCAGTGCCTGGAACTCCCGAGATGTACATGCAACTAAAGAAACAAAAACACAAATTAACTCGGAGAGATTATTCAGCTGTTTCAGGAAAGGTTGTCCTATGTGATAAAGCGGAAAGGTATTATGAATAGTGCGCTACCCTTAATATCTTTCGTTATTGTTGCGTACGCAACCTTTCTTCTTCTGTTGTTATTGTTGTTGTTGTTGTTGAATGTTTAGAGTGGCCGATGCGCTTAGCTACAACTAGCTGGTTCTCAGGCATGCCACTTCAACTGAAAGAAAGAAGAATTTTTAAAAGAAAGAAAAAATTCTGAAAGAAAGAAAGAAAGAAAAAATAGGCTTAAAAATCCCAACTGGCGGGAGGCAGAACAGTTACCGGTCATCAAGCCACCAGGGAGTCTCGCCACCAACGAACTCGCCACCAAGGGAAGCCACTGGTGGCGAGGTGACCGGATACCGGCAGATAAGCCGGCTGTTTACAAGCATGACCGAGGAGTTGAACTAGAGTCTACCAACAAACAACTCCAGCTTAGTGGTCAGAGCGGGGCTTGAACCTGCGACCTCCCGATTTCAATTCCGGCGCCCGAACCACTCGGCCGCGCTGCCTACAGTTTCTTCATGTATTCTGCTTTCAGGAGCTCAGTAAACGCTGCTACACGGGCACTTGCTGTTGAGTCTTTGCACGGTTTTTTGTTCGCTATGACGGAAAATATGTTTTTTCCCCTAACAAATCCTCCCCATCCTCCAAAGTCTTCCTTGAAACAATGCGTCAAGACACTAGTCTCTCAAGAATATATTGCTCAAACTCACTATCAAAACAAGGAAACTCAAACCTGTGACAATAATTGAGAAAATCTAAGCTTTGCTGTATGTCTGGTGACAGACCAAAAAATACTTGCAGTTGGCATTTTCTCTTAGAGTCTGAAGAGTGTCTGACGAGAGAAAAACAGAGGGGAGGGGAGGGATTCTGCCCTCTCGTCTTTCATGTCTCAACGTCTCGTCTCATACTCCCTGTCTAATTTCAAGAGAAAGATCGACTTCAAGCAGTGTAGCATCTCATTTCCCAACACCTTACTGCTTGTCATACTTAACCTGTTTACAGTTCATGGTTACTTGGTTACTGAGTTCAATACCCACCCTCCAGTGCCATCAAGTAGTTTTCCTTCAACAAAGTTATAGATGTCTGTAAACTCTTTGTCACGGCATGGAAGAGATGATGGCACTGCAGACACATGCAGTCTAAAATCAAAACCAAAACCGCAAATTAAAATAAGAGTAAACATTTTTATAAGTGAATACTATGAGAATAGCTTTAATCATACCAATAGAACACCACAAAGGCAACACCCCCACCAGCCTCATAAACTTTCGACTTAGCTGTACTTCTCAACCAAACAACTACACTGTAACAACTCCTCTTTGGAAGTAAAGTAAGATTTTTCAAGTATAGGTCAACCCCTATGAAACAGCCACCCTTGGAAAATGGATAGTGGCTGCTTAGAGCGGGCTGGCTGCCTAATAGAGGTAAAAACATTAGATGAGCCCTCATCAAGACTTTGATTAATGGCCGCCTGATAGGGGTGGCCATTAAATAGGAATTTGACCATAATATCTTACTTTTTTCTTGCCAGTTCAAGTGGTGTGCCAGGTGCCTTGCAAGGCTGCTGCCTCTCAGGAATGCTCGGTGTCATTAAGCTCTTCCTGGATGGTTGCTTGGCACTGCTTGGAGCCGGAGTCTTAGGAGTCTTGCGACTGGTCCTTGGAGTTTTCACTCTTTGCTGTGTAGGGTTCTTAAGAGGTGTTTTCTGGGATGATTTAGTTCTGGATGGAGTTTTTGCGGCTGGCTTACCTGCAACAAATATAATTTATTCACAAGCTGTTACTGCCATGCTCCAGTGGTTCAAAGGAAAATAACAAGTTTGGAATATGGTAAGGATTTATGCTGTCTGGTCTAGAAGAGGCTTGCAAAATGCAGCTGAACATGCCCTGGTATGAGTTAAGGGTTACAGAGTCAGCAGACAATATCCCACCCAGAAATTCACAGTACCACTCTCCCCCCTGGGGGATGAAATCAACCTGTATTCATCTATACCCCTGGGGGAGTACAGTCCTGTGAGTGTCAAGTGCCTTGCCCAAGAACAAAACACAACTAGCCTAACAAAGGTGATTTAGTAATTGATCTTGTTGTTACCTCTAGGTGTGTCCTGTATCAAGGTGAATGTTGTTAACTTCTTTGAAGACCTCAAGCCTCCTCTTCCTGGTGTTGGTCTACTTTGAACTGTTTTGAAAATAAGCACCACTGACAATTTTGTTAATAAATACTTTACAGCATAATAAAAAATAATCAATTATTAAATGACAGCAAGTCAAAGTTCCTTAAGTTTACATGTTTTGTGTTCAATCACCACTGCCCTCTTGCTTGACGTGTTACCACTTGCATTATCATACTTAAAGGTGGCTTTACTTTCTTACAGCTGTCTGCTTTAGATTACTGTCACTTAACAAAGGGAAGTTTAGTTGACTGGCAGTTAATACAACGTGTCTTTGTCAGGTGACCTTCTGGTGACATTTCATAGCTTGAGTTCTTGAAGTCAATGTTGAGAGCTTAATATACAAACTATATGCAGTTACTAATAGGGTATAAAACACTGAAAATCTTACTTCCTGTATTGTTTTTAGCTTCAGCCTCCCAAAGAATATCATTGCCATCATCACTATCATCATCGTCATCATCACTGACATCACTTGGATGAAACACACTATCATTGTCACTATCATTCTCGCCATCATTACTACATCTTGATTCACTCTCCAGTACTTGCTCCAGAACTTCTGCAGTACCTTTAGAGAGCATTAAATCTCACGTACATGCGCAACAAATACTCACTATTAAAAACCACTTAAATAAAGTCCAGGATAAAAGGACTGGCACTATGACAGGATTCTGTAGCACAAACAAAGCAATCTTCAGAAATTTTTAATCAATTTGTTGGGTCAGGTATTTCAGGGTTTTTGAACCAGTGTATTTTGTATCAAATTTTTTGCCCCAAATAACAGCTGCGACGGAGAGTACATGATTGCATATATAGCACATCATAATTCATACCATATTGTTGCCTTGGAGAATTTACTGGTCCTTCTGTCTTCTTCGCACTCTGGTTGTGTCTACTTTTCTTGGAGGTTACAGTAGATTCATCGGGAATACTGCGGCTTGCTCTTCGTTTAACAGGTGTCCCACTGTTGCCATTGAAAACTAATGGCTCCAGGGGTATCACACATTTGTTAGTTAACATAACAGTTTTGTTTCGAACAGGAGTTGTGCTTTTTTTCTTCACTGATGGAGTATCTATGGACAAGCCAAAAAATGTTTACAAAAGTAAATAAAATCCCTTGAATGATATACAGCTGCACAAGTGCAATATTAATTTTTTCATCTAAGCAAATTAAATACCCATTCACATTTTTTTTACTATTATTACTGTTTAATCACATTTGTCACCTTTTTGTTCGACAATCAGGTGTCGTATTTCAGTAATTTAATTCTTCATTAATGTTCCCGTAGCACAAATGCTGGTGTGCATACTATCACAAGAAAGAGCAACATAGGTTTCAAGAAAAGTACATTAAACTTCCATTGCAGAACACATTGAAAAAAGGTAATAACATGTCAAACTTGACTATATTCCTTACCCTTTCCTTTTGCTGGTGTTTTCCTTGTCTGTGGTGTTTTTGCATTGTTACTGACACCATTCTCTTTGACAAGATTCTGGTTTCTTGTAGATTCCCTTCTGGGAGTCTTCGGAGTTTTAACATGATTTGTAACACTACTTTCCCTTTTTGATGTGGACTCTCTTGCAACCCTTTTACTGACAGGATGAAGGTTAAAATGCCTGTCAAATCTGTAACGCACGTAAAACAAGTCCTCCTGGTCAGTGGCATGTAAGCAGTCCGGCAACAGATCGTGCAGTTTAAGTCTTAAAACAGTGCACTTCTTTGAAATGGTTTCAGCATCAATATCCTCAACACCGTGATTATGAACACTGTCACTAGAAGGTAAAAATAATTCTCTCCAAGGTTCCGCAATATCGACAGTAATCCTCCTTTTTGCTAATTTTAGCAGTTCTTCATAAGTGAAATACCACTGTATTATGGCTCTGTTGGGATCATCACTTCCTTCAAGCTCATATAACTTCTCAACATGTCCAATAAAACACTTCTTATTGCCGTTAATAATGACATCATCTTCACAACTGATCAAGTTTCCTTTAAATTTGAATTGTCTAAATATACGGAGAGAGAATACGAAAATTAATCCATTATACTTGTATGCTGAAAGCTGTCTACCTATGTGCATTGCATTTTGTTAGTATTAAGCAGCAAAACAGGGAATATAGGACCTAATGGGAGGGGGTTTAATACACACTGCAGAACACAACTGTGAAGCTGGTCATGATCATCTATTTCAGCTACTTATAAAGTTATAATGTGCACTACAATTGGCAGGCTTGGTGTTTTGCAATGTGTAAACAAGCTCGGGTCTGATGAATTGGATTAGAGAGACTGTAGGTCATGCAATGTTAAATGTTACACTGCAAAACAGAAGAGAACAATAAATTTACTCCTCTTTTGCACATAACGTGAAACAATTTCAGAGGTGGGCAAATGGAGTAAGACATTGTTCTGATGCAATGCAATGCACAGCGTTTTCCAGGCTTGTACTCCACTGTCTCAAATAACCGGGGCGGGGAACTCCCAGAAAAAATGGGTGGGGATGTGGGGCCTGCTTCCCAAAACCCTTACCCTATTTATGACCAGAAACTGTGATTTTCCCCTACCCTATTTGTGACTTGACCAAAATTCAGCACTCTATTTATGACTGTTGCGGCTGGCTCAGTAGCCCTAAAAATAATTTATGAAGGGCTTTTGATGATGGTCTTGTCATTAGTGATGAAAAAGTAGCTTTTAATAAAAAAAAAAACAAAAAACAACAACAAAAAAAACATACCCAATTCAAAACTAGAGTGAAAAAAAACATACCCTATTAGAGACCAAAATGTCCAAAATAGATACCCTATTTATGACCAAAACAGCTGAAAAACCATACCCTTTGGGACTGCACATACCCATATATCCCATAAAAGGGAGTGCCCCCCTCCCCCACCGCCCATCCATCCATCCATCCCCGGGCTCAAATACAAGCTTACATAACACATGGATGTCATATCTATAACCAGGAACAAAACATTGTACTGCCCATGTTTTTCACGGAAATATGTCAACTTAATTGTAACCTTAAACAAAATCCGAGCATTCTTGCAAGCATCTCCTTTATTTTTAAACGACCCATTACTAAGTTTAAGCTATATGGAAGGCTGGAGGAAGGAATTTACGACTCGTCAGGTCCATCAACGTTATAACAAGCTTGTTACCTATAAAAAACTTTTCCATCGTCTATCGTTCCATTTCCAATCCATTCGAAAGTCTCAGCAGCAGTTCTCGCATTTGTCCTGGTAGGCATTGTACTAAAATATTATCGTAAGCTTTATAAACTTTCCTCAGGAAATCTCAAATCTGGCCGCCATTTACACGTGCAGAAGAATGAGTGAAAACTGGGGAGAGTCATCAATCCCAGTCCATTCGCTAATCAAGAGGACTGGGTACTAATCTGGAGAAAACTGCACTTGGTTCACTTGGTTTACTTTGAAATGAATTTTTGCCACTGTGACGCCATATTTAAGGAAATAAAAATGGCGGTTTTATGGCAGAGTAGGAGAAGACGGGCTAACTGCTGGGTTGGAGGCTACATGACTTCGTGTTTAGCTGTCTCGCAGAGAGCGGAGGACCTTCCGCAGACTTCTGCGCTCGGCACTCGTCGCTCGACTCTCGTCGCTCGACGCTTATCGCTAGTGTCTCGACTGAGTCGCTCGCGGTTTTGCGACTTCATTGTTCCTGTTCGGGCAGGGCTTGAAGACGAGTTCCCCGAAGCCCCCATATGTTAAAAGATAGGGAGGGTTCATGGGCTGGATTAGTGCATAGCCTGGCGCAAACAAGAAACACAGGTTGGAAAAATACGAAAGTGTACCTCGACTCGAAATGTACTGAACTTTCCTGAGTGTTTTTTTCAGTTCTGGTCACGTATTTACGTCTGGGTACGTCATAAATAAGCGGCCATAGGTTTTCTGGTTTAATCCACAATTACCGGCATTTGGAAACCATTAGCACGCGAGGCAAATTGGGTGGTCTCTTAGGGATGTTAACGTAATAAGAAAACTGATATTCTCTTAAAAAAAGCCCTGTACACGTAAACTATACACGTAATAAATTAAACATTCAAGTGTATGGTTATAACATGGTGATGCTAAACAATTTTGTTTGGCTAAAACAGATAACATATGCACAACAAAATCAATTGAAAAATCGATGATATGAACGCTTTAAAGAGCAAAAAAATCATGTACATACCGATCAATATTAAAGGATTTTATTTTCGCGAGGTCATTCGACTTCCTGCCATGTTTAAATTCTTCCAGTCTTATTTGGAGTAAAATCTGGTGTGATGCCAATTTCTCTTCACAATCATTCTGGGTTTTTTTTTTTGAAAGGAAGTGAAGTTTCTTATTACATTTTTATATTCTAAGATTACACGAGTAGATTTGTACCTGCATGTCTGCAAGGTACTATTTCCTGTTTACCAGATTTGTTCTTAATCATGTTCCGATTTCGCTTATGTTCTCAAGCGAAGAAGGAAGAATTCTTTGCTCTGTTTCGACAAAAGCACGTCATTAATTTATATGCTTTACAATACAGTTTGATTTCTTCTTTTGTCGAACTACACCACTTGTAAATAAACCTGCTACAAGCCTTAAAACTCTCACTGAACACTTTGAGTTCCGAATCCTTGATATTAGTACTTCTGATAGTCACAAAATGTTCCTTCAGTTAAGATTATATTCGTTCATGGAAAAATATCTTGTTGAGGTCATGGTTTCGTACTGGAACGTATGGCTTATTTTATGACTCTTATCCTGTATTCTTGTGCCATCTACAAATACACTTCTCGTATTTCTCTAGAAAACGTTCTTATTCTAGATCTATGCAAATATTTGTGGGACAGATTCTCAGTGTACTCAACGTTTTTCATTAGCTTGATCTTATCGTGTATATTACCCTTTTGTTCCCGTAGCACTAAACAGTGATGATTGCTTCTTGCGGGAAGTACTAGAACATCATCAGTTACATCAAGAGCCAATAAATATCTGCAATACGTGAAACCACTTGTTCCTGCTACGATGAAAGGTCAGCTTAGCTGCAGTGTCAAGATCAGGGACTGCGTATAAAAACAGCAAACCATTCTTCATTTTATCAGTTAGCTCTCGTCCAAAGAATCGTGCAAGATTGTGGCATTTGCAAACTTGGTTGATAAGTCTGCTTGGCGTGATGGGATCCGCGACTACCACGAAAAAATGGGGGAAAGGAAGACAATTTTGGGGATTAAATTGGGATTATGATCCACAGTGGATACTGACCGAGGAACAAAGAGAAATACAACGACAACTGATGGAGTGCTGTCGGAATGTCATTAGACCAAACGCTGTAAGTTCAAATAGATGACTTATTGCTTCTCCTTAATGCTTCCTCGAAGTCTAGTTGAAAAGAAAATCAACTGTCAGGTTTTCGGCGAACAGATGGAATAGAATGCAAAACTTTTTCCGCGCGCGCGTTTTGTCTTGCGCGGTTTGTTTTCATCTAGCGCTTGTTGCTGTCTTTACTTTTCGTCCACTATTTCTACGTTAGTGTATGTAACCCGAATAACAGGAAAAAATATGTTGTTTTAATCAGTTAATTGATGACCGCTTTCAGTCTAGCAATGCTTAATTGATACAGTTACCAGAACCCAGAACAGGGCCTTCCTAACGCAGCCAAAAGCAATGGAGAGGGACTAGGAAGTAGTTCCCAGTCCCCTTTCTTAGGTTGTCAGGAGAAGAATGGAAATGAGTGGGAGAAAGTAAAACAAGACATTACATTTTTGTACTTTCTCACCAAGATTACGTCAATGTGCTCGTTCCCTTGAAATACGGCACCTAGTTGTAAGCTGAATACATGAGAGCGCGGAACTGCGTAGATCAAGAGATCAATTTCTGATTAGACAGGAAAGACGAGGAGGCACTTGAAAAACACCACGTTACATTCAATTCGAGAGCCGTGGCAGGGACGTCTCTAAATGCTAATTATTCTTAATCAAACAAATTTCTTTAATTATGTTCACAAGTTCGCTTGCCGGGAAACCCAGCATGGGTACCCGGATGAACATCGCTTGTCCCTTACTTTGGCGTATACCAAACTTGATGCATATGTGATGTGAGAAGGGGGCGTTCAGTGTCAAAGGGTCAAGGGTGCTCTTTCTTGTGGATGTAAATTAGGGATTTCGGTATCAGTTGGAGTGTTGTTTAAGGAAAGACCGACAGATTTTTATCCATCAAGGCAAATTAAGTAAAGCCAACAAAACATAGAATTTAACTTGATTTAAAAGAATATTTCGGCTGGCCGCCAGTACCAGCCTTCTTCAGGTATAGAGAAAAATTAGACAATTTTAGATAGTAACTATTGTGAAATACAATGTAATGCACACGTTGGATGTGTTAGCAGGCTGTTGACATGTTTGACAAGTAGCTAGTTGGATTTTGTCACGGACATTTAAGCCATAAAGTGTAGATGTTTTAGCGTGGATATTAAGCGTGGCTTCTGTGGCTTAAGAGACTGAAAAGTTTCTTTTTCAATAAGAATGAGTTGCATGTTGGTAGAAGTAAGATTAGGAGTAGAAAGATAGAACTCGGAAATTGTGGTAGGTTTGGCTCTGGTATTTACTGACGATTTCAAGGCATGTTTGAGTATGTACAACTGACATTGTGTTGTTGTCATTTGTTGTAAACTAGATTTTTTGCGTGGGACAAAATAAATCTTGCGCCACACCCACTTGGTCTCCTTCACAAGTCGGATTAAATTCTCTGTCCCTAGAGTCCCCTGGGGCATAATTGCCGGGGTTTTCTTTCTTTCCGCAAAGAAAAATCTACTTATGAATGCACGGACCGATATGTCGACATTTCAAGACGGCGGTTTCTCCGAATTTGGAGCGTTATTTTTACACATATCATGCGAACAATATTACTACCGTTAAGTTCCCAACATAAAGAACCCTCGTAAATTTATGATTTAGCAAAACCTTCCCATCATTACTATCAAGGGTGGCGCCTTTCGACGGTTGGTGCTTATGTGTCTTATGTAACTAAGAAGTGTAACCGCCATGTGACCATTAAACGGATAAAAATGTTCCCAGTATAGTACAGTATATAAAGAAGAAAGGGATACATCTTGTGCAAAAGAATTTATGTCACAACAAACGGGGTAATATAATGCCTTTGTAATAAGAGTCAACAAATATCAGGCACTCTGGTTTAGCTCGTTTTATTTGCATTGTGTTTTTTTTTTCTTTTTCTTTCTTTTTTTTTTTTTTT